AAACCACTCCTGGCTAGTAACCAGCTCTCTCTCTCTCTCTCTCTCTCTCTCTCTCTCTCTCTCTCTCTCTCTCTCTCTCTCTCTCTCTCTCTCTCTCTCTCTCTCTCTCTCTCTCTCTCTCTCTCTCTCTCTCTCTCTCTCTCTCTCTCTCTCTCTCTCTCTCTCTCTCTCTCTCTCTCTCTCTCTCTCTCTCTCTCTCTCTCTCTCTCTCTCTCTCTCTCTCTCTCTCTCTCTCTCTCTCTCTCTCTCTCTCTCTCTCTCTCTCTCTCTCTCTCTCTCCCCCTCCCTCTCTCAGTATAAAGTTAGACTAGGATTACTTAGCACCCTGCACCCTGCTCCCCAATACCACCTATACCACTGCTATTGCTATAAGAGTATAAGTAGATCAAGGCGCCCCCTTTTTGTCCTTCACCCCACCTTAATGAACAGTATGGTATTTAGAGTCACCACATGATAACATATACACACGCTGGGGCGCTGGTGACCATTATTACCAATACCATTATAACCCATGGTTAGTATAACCCTGCTGGATATAATAGTGTAATATTGCCCGATCATTCATTCACCCTTTATTGATTGTAAGAGCGAGGGATATTTTGAGTAATTTGATATTTTAAACAATCAGCCCCGTCAATGTTGGTTTCAGAAACCAACGCACCTTCTTAAGTTTGAACGATTTTAAAGCGCTTTTCATTCGATTTTCAATCGAATTTTGGCACGTAAGTTTTCTGTTACGTCAAACGCAGCTTAGTTGTAGCTTCTTGCGGCCATTTAATGACCGTATCAAATGTACCTGTATGCATACTTATATAGTATTTTCAGTTGTGCCGGTCTTCTTCATTGTTCTTACTGGTTTCAGAGTTGTGATGATTTTATGCGGTTTTACAGTCTTTAAGCGGTTTCAGCTCTGGAGTGTTCCTCCTGATTTCTCAGTTTATTACAATTGACGGCTGTGGCTTTTCAATTACCCTCATTAACGTCTGCTTTACAATTAGCATGTAATTAGAATACAATTAGAATACAATCAGAGTAATTGTCGCGTCTAGCAAGCAAATCCTCAGATTGCTTTGGTGGTAAACTTGATTAAATTTAGAGCGCGTATTACATTCAAAATGCTCAACTGCTCAGCAATTTTATAGTTCTCACTGCTTAAAAAGCATACTTACCTTAATTAATCAATCACTTTAGCTAGATCCTTGGCCTGTAAAGCTATTCAGATTCACTATATGCCCAATAAAAATAAGATACTGGAGGCAATCAAAGTGCAGTATTGTATTAAACCGTAGACTTTGGTTGAGCTAGCATTTTATGTTTATATTTTGGACAGAAACTAAAGGCAAGACTGTAGACGTTTTATAAACTGAAGCAAGCCGGGTAGTGTTTAGTTTTCTTTTGCTTAATTGAAGTATATTTTGAACGTAAACCAGAAGTATACCGAATTCTAAACTATGCCGAACATTTTGCAGGTTCCTCTCCTTAGCCAGAGCAATATATTTTTAAAAGAAGTACAGTAAAAGTAAACCACCCAAACATACTTCAGTTCTCCTACTTAATTGTCGGAGCACTTAAAACTTTAGTAGAGGGTACCCCACAATTAGCGCAGTGTCAACTTGAGCAGGTCGAACATTTTAGAGTAGTGTCATAAAGTTTCTTGTCTGGTCTACTCTTTCTCCTTTTACTTTGCAGACTGTTCAGTCTGATTTCTGGGAAGTTGTAGGTATCACTTCTGACTTCTTGAAATTTCATCTCACAACGTACTTTAAAACTTTAAACCCCCATTTTAAAGTTTGTTGTCTTGTCAATTGTTCATATTCATACATTGTGAACTGTTTACATATTCCGTTTACATTCCGTTTTTATTTCTAGGGATGTGTAAGAATTTCCTGACATGTGTAGGGATTAATAAATTTTACCTTTACTGCCGGTACGATTTGTCACCCTTAATACTTCACGTCACCCCTATTCTAAATCTGAAGCATTACCTTGTAGACTTTAAGTTTTCCCTAACCTTTACCGAGATTCTTTACACGACCCAAAGCGATTAGATATATACTTATAAAATACGTATTTTGGCTCGTATAATTACCGCGATACAATCAACGGTTATTGCAGCTGTTGAACGAAAATCCAATCAGGCCCACCTGAGGATTCATCTCAGATTGATTTTTGTTTTATCATAAATTCTGCAATCATTGTAGAATGTAGGACTGGTGCTCCTTATAAAGATTACACAACAGTCCTCGATCAGTGCTAAGGTACCAGCGTGTACCACACTGGTATACAATCTCTGCAACAGTAACAATATACATGGATACTACAGGTACTCATACTGATTACGTGTACAATACAGCACCAGACAATGATTAATTAATGATCACGTGATGACAGCCACTCACCGGGCCCTCTAGTACACAATACACCATATAATTATAGCACCACCATCTCGATCCACCTTATAGGACCACTAAAGATGTCTCCTTATTGCTCATTGGTCGACGTACCCTTACAAGCTCCGGCCAGATCAGTGCTTGTGTTAACTAGCTCCGATCTGATTGGTTGGTTTGACTTTGTGTGCCGTCTGATTGGCTAGTAGGTGAGTCACGTGATAACGACTCTTAACGGTCGCATTATACCGCTTTTGGCGAAGAAGAAGTGCAAGTTTTGATCAGTTTCTTGCGGCTCTGTCGCCACGTTCAGCACTTTTTTGGGTACAATTCAACATTTTACAACATACTCCCCCAATTAAGTGCAGAATATGCTTTAACAAACGCCAGTAATTTTTCTACCGTTTACACCAATCTAGCTGCATGTAAATTCCCTTAATTCTTTAAGGGAAAGAAGTCCTCATTTGGATATCGAACAAAGGTCACCAAGGTAGGTCAAAGGAGCTTACATATTACTGATACTGGGTTAAGCCTCCAGTCGAGCATGCTGTCTCTGGTAATTGGTCTAACACTTCACAGAGAGGATTAGTATCGTTTAGGACTGCGACAACGAACCCTGAACCAGTTCTTGTTATCGCTCACCATTTGTTGAGGAGTACGTGGCGAAATTATTAACGTTATAAATATATATAATATATAATCAAAACGTCAGAGTTTTTTAGTTTTCCTCATTAGAACTCATACTGCTGGGACTTGTCGCCCATTAAGCGTTTAGTTTTCTTACCGGGAGTTTGTTTAATAATTTTGAGCTAGTTACCAAGATTTAGAGTGAATCACACCGAATTTTAATGTGATCTGGACTGTCACCAGGTTGCCAGATTCAAATTTCCGGATTAATTTCGAGGTGAAATCTGACATGGTAAGGCTAAGCGTGCAATTGAAACTTAAGGCTGCGGTCCACGAGAATGCAGCAAGCCCAGACGCCCGAAACTTGACAAGTGCTATATTAAAAGGGAGAAACTTTATCCCTTGATGAAAAGAGATAAGAAGCCTTATAAAGGAGGACAGGTATTAAATAATCTTATCGGTCATACGCTCGAAGTTAACCCGTTTTGTAACTTTCCGAGTGTTTAATTGCTGGTATCGGTGCCCTCTCGAGATGTTATGAGTTCTTGAACAATTTTTCGGTGTATTTGTGATCTTTCTCGGGAAAGATTTCCAAGTTTAAAGGTTTCATGAAGAAATTTATTCTCAAAGCTGGAATTTAGTTGATTTCCGTTTTCCTTACAGCCGCCGTTTACATGGAACAATTTTGTCTGGAGATACCTTTAACCGGTGCCAAAAGTATGAGAGCGACGTTAAATGAATTAAAATGACCTGGTCCTCTTGCTGGAAATATGAATTTAGCATTTGTTCTGTAAGAACCGATTCAAATTCGATATTTTTAAGGTAATCTAAACCGTCTGTCCTGTATAAACTGATTTCGCTAAGTCTAAGAAACATGACCAGGATTCGTGTTGGCTAAGTTAATTTTGAACATTAACCGAACGACCGAAAAATTAACAATCCTGATCCTGGAGAGAGGTAAACAATAAACATGCATTAAATCTTTAATATGTCTGCTTCAAGGTCAGCCCTCCCTTTTATCTTATAGCTCCATTTACTTTGCGGTAAACCAATCAAATTAAATTACAAAACTAAACGAATTTATTTTTAAATAGCCCCTTCCCGGCAATTTGATGGGAAAGTAAGCTTACAACATAAAGTCAAAGTAAAATATGATACATACCATATTGTCTCTTTGCTAAGTATGTCATTTTACATATTTAGTTGCCATAGAGAGAAATATGATCACATTCACTGGTAACTTACCTGAAAAATACTATAATGTCACGACGCGGTCACTTGTGGTAGGATTTACATACTTTATACAGTATCACATTAATGGTTCATACATTTTAATCTAGATTTCTATATTCTATCCGATCTGGTTTCCACGGCGACGGAGAACTTTTCCTCTTCTCCCGATCAAACATGAAACTATACTGATGATCTGAACTGAGGAGTCATGTTAACCATGGTTTTCTTTACTTTAGTCCTTTTCTTAGTGCAGATCGTGTAGGTGTTGATTTATCCACTTGTTTAGACTTTAGAGAGTGCAATTAATTTCGTAGTGCGACCATCATCATCTTCTTGTAATTTTGTACTGATCTAGACTGCAGATGCTGATCAGTATTGTACTCCACCTCGAGCCAGGACTATTTTCAGGATTCTGTTCATTTTTTGTGAAACCGCATTGATGTATTTTGTCGTCACCAGTTAAGCATTCACCAGCATATTATGGGAAATTAAAACACATGTTTACTGCAGGCCTGCAGGATTTGCAAACTTGCTGTTAGCAGAGATTACTGCAATTCAAGTTCCTTTTCATCAAATTATCTTATTCTATAGTTTTAGTTTCATGAGTTTTGATGTATATTTTCTTAAGACTGCTTCGGTTTCTAACCCTATATTTCTAGTTCCATGAGTTTTGATTATATTTCCTTGATTCTGCTCATGTTTTTAAGCTTATATTTCTAGTTCCATGCGTTTTGATGTATATTTCCTTGATTCTACACCTGTTTCTAACTTTATATTTCTAGTTCCATGAGTTTTGATGTATATTTCCTTGATTCTGCTGCTACTTTCCCTGCTCGTTAAGCCCACATCTTCTGTTACTGGATTTTATACTTACCAGGTTAGTCAACGCTCTTATTTCTTTTAAAAAAACTATATTACGATCATAAATGCTAATGATTTCTGAAATTGTCTTATAACAGCTGCAGTCTTTGCAGCTGGTCAGCTATAAAATGCAATATTGCTGAAATGCTGATACGATCAGAACCATGTAAATTGTTATGACTACAGAGAAAAGGATACCATATCTTCTCAATACATTCTTGCTGAGATCCCTAATGACGAGGAAGGGCCTTATAAAAGTACAATTTAGGTAGCGGAGGAGGGTGACGAGCTAAAGTTATATTGTTTGACATCAGGACAAGACATAAAGTGGTCAAGGACCGTTAATGGGATTAAGGAAGAACTGAAAGCCCCTACGTATCAGGTCTCGAAATCGTACAGGTGAAAATAATGTTTACAATCGGAAATAGAAACCACAAAAACTAATTAGATTTCTTAGTACAGTGAGATTCTGACCTCTAGAGCCCGATTTACCGCAATACAAAAACTGATTTGTCATTTGCTTCTCCCAAACTCTTGGTAAAGCAGAGTTCGACTGGACAACAAGCACTTCATGGCGCTTAGCCAAGATATGTTTGTCAATGATTGATGTAATTTAAATGTACTTAGTACTATGAACCGCAGTTTAACCTAATTAATTATAAATTTAATATATATAATTATAAATCCCCTATCACAGATGTGGGAACCCGTACATGTGTGGCGGGTACGATGTAGAGGAAACTAAAGTGTGCCTCAGGAGCACTCTGACCCTGAGGGGTCTTCAGAAGAGCGATAGTGCTACTTACTTTTGTCAAGAAGGAGTTCAGAAAGGAGCGTTTTCCTTCGCTTACGTTTTAACAGTAAGTGTTGAAGATGGCGTGTAGTTTGGATGTACATGATAATGTAAAAAGTTTTGTGGAGTAGTTAATTTTGAGATTTGTGTGTTATTCTTTCTATGCTTAAGGCTTTTATAGTTCTAAATGTCCGATAGAGCTTTTAGCTAGAAATATTAAATTTTTACTTATTTTGTTATTGAAATATTAAAATTTTCATTTTCATCAGGTATTCAGCAGTAATGCTATGCCTCATATTTATGATTTTGAGCCTCTGCAGTGCAACAATACAGATTGGTACGGTTGCATAGCAACAAAAAACTCCGCCAGGTTGGTAAAAATATTAGTTGTTATTAATTGAAACATCAAAATTAAATTTTGTTTCCAAGAAGTTCCTCTAAAAACTAAATATGTTCCTGTCAGTTGAAACTAATATCAAATAATAACAGATACGAGTTTTTCGTACAATCACAAGGAGACAAGACGACACTAAAAGGAACCTATAACGAAGCTAATATTACCAAAATTGGTGATACAGACGTGAGATATCTTATCAGAGATAACTACATCGCACTGCACGACTTCTCTATACTGAATGTGAGACTATTTTCCAACAGTTGTATTATAATCCGGAAGCTTGCGACAATCGCGCTCACATTGGGATGTCCGCGAAGTTTCTTGTTTTTATTCATCTCGGGTCTTTAAAATAGTATGATTGAGAATTCAGGCCATAATCCTTATAAACAGAATCTTGAATAATCTATCTTTCCATTTCAGCAACCTGAAATGAAGTTTGGGTGTAGGGCTTTTGACCGTTCTGGTAGATTCACCGAATTTGCAACAGGTATTAATAAAAAATTCGTTCAGATTAAACCGCATATGGGGTCGTTCACATATTAATACGTTGGCTAGATTTTTGCCATTTCAGACTCCATCCCCCGACACTACTTTGTAGAAACTACACTATAGCTTCCTAAACCCCCTCCCCCTACAACGTTACATATGAACGATCCCTATGAAAGTTATAAAGTTTATTAGGTTCTAAACTTAAAGTCCGATTGTTGAGTAAACATGCAACGTGTTGAAGGCAGACATTTTAAGCAGGCTTTGTCTATCATCTTATTAGCATTAATTAAAATACCTACATTTCTCTCGATGAAAAACCGGTCTTTATAAAAAAATTAATATTTATCTTCACCGACAGCAACACCTTTATAGTTTATATTAAAGTTTACTTTTAGTCACATATTATTTTAAGTACTCGGTATTTTAAAATGTATTTTCAAATCGGAAGTTTTAGGTAAAACGTTTGTCGACCTTGAACCACCAAGAAGTCAAGATACGTACGAAGCATATCTCGTTAAATGGATAGGTGTTGGTAAGTCCCTTATTTTAATAAAATTATTGATAAAAATAATAATTATTAAGACAATTTGTACATCTAAAATATCAGTTAATTTTGGAGTTCCACAAGATTTGAGACTCCTTTTGATGTTTTTATAGAGTAATGATAAAGGAAATATAACTGATACTCAAGAAAAATCTGAAATATCAGTTAATTTTGGAGTTCCAAAAGATTTGAGACTCCTTTTGATGTTTTTATGGAGTAATAATAAAGGAAATATAACTGATACTCAAGAAAAATGGAAATATTTACTATGCAATAAATAGTAACAATAATAAAATCTTTTTAACAAATTTTGCAATTTTCAGGCGTCGGATCGTTTGCAGGGTTGATAATTGTTATTTTTGTTTGCTGTAAACTTAAAAAGCGTTGTGGAAGAGAAAGAAGACATTCTGCAACCTACACAGGGATAGATAGGCAAGGAGGTCATCAGGACCTGTAACTAATTAATTAATTAATTAATTAATTAAAAATGTGGTCATCAGGACCTGTAATTGAATTTTTACTTTTCATTAAGTGTTTTATTTGGGTTTCCTCCACCATAAACTTTAAATTGTTGATGTTTTCATGTTGTGTGACATTGTATTAATTAATACTAATGGAAATACGTTGACTTGTGAATACTTTTAGTGCAGAAGACTGTGACGAATACGTTTTCTAATTATTTTCGTAGTTTTAATGGTTCGTTTGTTTCAACAAATAATACATGTGTTTGGTAAGGATGATGTGGGCTTAAAGACTGACAAAAATAAACATATGATTGGCAATATTTATTTGAAAAAGAAACCTTTCATCGAACCATCTGAAATTAATATCATGTGAATGTTACACGTGATAACTATTATTAACACTATTATAGAGTTAACTTTGCTATCAATGTTTTGCAGTAGAACTAGACGATATAGTTGAAACAGATTTTATGATGATAGTATATTTTAATTGTAATTATATTTCATCGCATCTATAATACTTGAAATAAAATTACTAAAAAAGATAGTTATAAGCATCAAAAATATTTAATAAATGCATTATTAATTAGTGATTACTAATAACTATACCAAATGTTCGAGCTTTTGTTAGTTCAATAAATTATTGTTGATGATCATTCACTTCTCCTATCGCCAGCAGAGTCTTCCTCTCGCAGTATTACATTGGCATCCTTGACCACTTCGCTTCGTTGCATTTAAATGTGATTATCACCTACTTAAGTCATCCTTTGATGTACCTTGCAGTATTTGTTCCTGCTCGAGGATGAATGCATCAACCGCGATGCAGCATCACGATGAACTCTATTGTAATTACGTTTAGATGAAGCGGGGGATTCTGTATCCTGAGCTGCTAGTGTCCGAGTTTGGTATCGCTGTGGCCAAAGGTTTGAGGAATGGTTGCTAGAAACATTAACAGAGGTATCTACTATCTGATCAAAGAGTTTTACAAGACATCAGTTTGGATCCTAATTAAATTCAAGTAAGTGATCATGAGGATGATGCAGAACTCAGCACCAAATGATCAAAGGATATGTATGTCAATGTAAAGGCAGAAACTAATGCCTGTTAAGAGTTAACAATCCGATGAGATCGGTACAAAATATCGAAAAGACTTTTATTATACTCTTTTTATCACGTTAAAACGTTAAAACAGTCCAAATACAGAAAACAGATAACAATTTGTACTACCAATGTTATTGTTACAATAGTCTTTTATGGGCGTTTACTTTAGTCTTTTTGTCTATGTTACTGAAGGAAGTTGGGACAAACTCTAAAGCATAGATGCGGAGTTCGTTGATTTTTGGCGTAGAGTTCGTGGAGTTCGTTCAAAATTTGGAGTTCGTTAGAGTTCGTTGGAGTTCGTTAGTCAATTTTTCAAAAAAAAACATGGAAAATGTTTTTTTAAAAAAGTAATCAGCTCAGGATTTCTCGCATGATCTCAGATATTTATATCAACTTTACTGTAGTACTGTACACTGTCTACTTTACTGCTGAAAGTTGTACCTACAATGACATTTGAATCATCAACTATACCTATAAGTCTATACACAGTGCACTTCAATTTCAAATAGTTCAGTCTGCTGTACATGGCAAAATAAAATGTATACATCATACATGAACACTGAATGTACAATGTACATTCGGTGTGATCACAGCTGTTTACAGCAGAAGAAAACGAAACGCAACGCCAGAAGTACAAGTTGAAGTTTTCTGCAACGTGTCCAGGGAACGTGCGCGCGCAAACTATTGGCGCCAGAATGTTCCAGTCGATCGACCAGTCCTTGTACTGTGAAATATACACTTACAGTGTACACGCGACGCGTGGTAGAAGTTTCGAGTACCAATATATTTAGTTGTTTTACAATCGTAAGTTATGTATTGAATTGGCTGAATTGTAAATACAATTTCTGTTTAATTTCATTTTACGTAAGTTGTACAAAACGAACTCCTCAAGAGTTCGTAATTTTGGGTTGATGAGTTCGTAGAGTTCGTTGTCACTGAGGAGTTCGTAGAGTTCGTACGTATCATCTATGCTCTAAAGAGGAACTGCGAACATAGTAGTATGTAGTAGAGTAGTAGTAGTAGTACTAGTAGTTTACTTTAGGTGTATTGCAATTTTATTCGATATTTTGAACAACTATTGATTTTAAACGATAATAACAAGCACCAAGTACCGTAAAGTGTTGTATTTGATCCAATCTAACGCAAAGAAAAACTTAAAACAAGCGAACAGAGCACACAATACAGGCAATTTCTAGCTTATCAAATAGGAATTAGGAAGCGCATATCGACTATCGAGTAAAGGTTTAGTGGTGATAACAGATAAGTGACGTATCATGAATTTAGGTTGACCATTGTTAATGGTCTGGCCCGGCGTGCGCTACTTCGTAGCACTTGCCGTCGGGCGCTACTTCGAAGAAATTTAGACGAGTAACATCCGTCAAGAATTTAAAACGTTCAGTCTGTAACTCGGTCAGTAATCGGAAGAGTTAAAGAGGTAGGGATTTCACTTATTTAATAGTAACTCTCTGATCTCCGTATGTGGCGGCAACAATTACCAATTAATGCAAATTAAACTTTTGTCGTTGTGATCCTTTAGTGTTTTTTTGCGTCCTATGACTTACATTTCAACAATGTTCTTGCTAGTGATCAAGAATTTTGTTTTTATTAACATATGATACTTTAGATCATTTAAGGTATTACTAAACCCAAGCAATGAGCAGTTCCGTACATTATCATGTCTCTGATCAGAACAAACTTAAAGCCGATTTTTGTAATTATCGCGATCCAACTTGCTCAGCAGCTTATTCAGTTTTGGACAAAAATAGCTGTATGAACTATGAACATTTTGAGATTTTTCAATTGAAAAAAGACGAAAAACAATTTGGACACGCGATTGTATAAATCATATACACAAACTATGTACTCTTCTTGCCCCATTAATGTATATTTAATACTTGGAAGAGTGAAGAGTGAAACATTTCCACCAGCAGCTCTGGATTGTTACCATAATTCTCAGCACACCACCACAAATGGTTCACAAGCTGGCTGCTATTCCAGGCGCCTATTTTAGGGTGTTCTTAGCTGCATTGTTTAATTTCTTTCGCAGATTCTTTGCCATGTGCCATACATCGTATTGATTGATTGTAAACCAAGACGGTGCCCGGGTGGTTCTAATGACAAATTTTAATCTCAACAAATATATAATAAAATAGTAATAATCCCTCACAAGGGCATTGCACTCTTAATACGTTAATAGTAAAATGCCACACTGTGTAGATCAGCACTTTACGACGGAATCGGAACCTCATCTCCCAAATATTGCAAAAACTTAAAGTTTTGTATGCTCCAAAGTCCAACGGCCAAAAAGAATAACTCAACAAATAAAATTGTTTATCACAACGGGACAAGTCCCCATCTTCTCACGAACACTATCGTCCCTAATATAATAGCAAGACATGTATTGAAAAAATACACTCTAAAAAAGCCACACTCATCCCACTGATATGTCTTCAGTATGAATTCAAATTGTCCCTCCGTAATTCGCACCAACAGGCAACGTTACGTCACTGCTTGACTGGCCGAGTAGTCTTCTCATTCAACTTGAGCTCCATCTATTATCTCTACTAGCAGGAACCCGTCTAACCCTAAAGTGGTGTCAAGACTCAAAAGACTAAGATAATTATTACCTATTTAATTCGCGTTTTTGTCACCACTTGGGGGTCCAAATTTTGGGCACTAAAATTCTTATTCTTTTTTATTATTTCATGCTGATTTGAAGGCCATTAAGGCATTTGACCCAGTCAAAAAAGTTTCAGTTGTATATCTTTCACGGTTTTTGCGGAAAGTCGCGTTTATAAAGTTGATGCCGTGGTGTCAGTAAAATGGCACGGATCCATGATATATATCGTCTCGCTTTATATATAGTAAGATTAGTCTGGTAAGACTAATAGAGATAATAACAATGATCTTTAGTAAGTATCCTTAATTATTGTTGATTGACAATTATAATTTGGTAATAGCATTATCTTTGTTAGTCTAGTGAGTGTGAATGTGTGGATAGCCGTGGTTATTCAGGTAAGACTAATAGAGATAATAACAGTGATCTTTTGTACGTATCCTTAATCATAGTTGATTGACTTTTACATTAATTAATTGTCATTATCATCAATTGTGTTTTCATTGTCCTCTCTTATATATCAGTTATCACTGAGCTCCATTGCGCGTTTCAGTCTAATCTCCTCAAATATGTCTCCGACTGTTCTGTTCAAGTCTTTACTGGAATCTTCAGGAAAACCGAAAATCATGATATTCTTGCTCAAGTCTTCTGCTTGCACCACAGACTTGACGACTTCCTTCAAAGTCTCGGGTGTAACTGAACTGTCAGGTTATGACAAACCATGACATTTTCCTGAACTGCATCGCTGTACGATTTAAACAGACGCTCAACCGTGTCTTTAAAAACGGTCTGCACTGCCTGTGCAAGGTATAGTTTAGTTAATATGTTTTGTTTGAGGCATGTTACAGTTACACAGTAATTACACAGTTAATGGTGTTATTATAGTGGCAGCCCGAAGCACGCCTTCAAAGTCGAGCTCGAGCAAGGAGAGAGGTCTGGTCAGATGATGGTTATGGAGACGAACTTCTACCACTGCTACACGTGTGGGTTTATCCCATGGGAGTATGGTCCCATCGGAGCCCCCTGGAGAGGATGGTGAGAGATTGTAACTTGTTCATTCACTTTCTGCTATTAGATCAATGATCCTGTCAATGATGACCGTCATTTACCCTTTCAATTTGCAATGGGAAAAAATAAATCGTCATGGTTCGGTATTTTTCCTTTTATTTACGTTTACAATAAAAAGATTTTCGTTTTGATTAAACATTTATTATCACAGTTCCTGTCCCAACCCGTTTGCACTGATGCGAGGACAGGTGAACGGGCATCAGCAGCAGAACCCGAATGCAATAAGGAGGATGCTGACACCACGCGTCTTCGAGGGCAAGGCAAGGGTTCTCAACGTGACACCCGGGGATAGGAGGTACCAGCAAGGGTTCTCAACGTGACACCCGGAGATAGGAGTTACCAGCAAGGGTTCTCAACGTGACACCCGGGGATAGGAGGTACCAGCAAGGGTTCTCAACGTGACACCCGGGGATAGGAGGTACCAGAAAGGGTTCTCAACGTGACACCCGGGGATAGGAGGTACCAGAGGGCAAGGCAAGGGTTCTCAACGTGACACCCGGGGATAGGAGGTACCAGATTGAGGGCAAGGCAAGGGTTCTCAACGTGACACCCGGGGATAGGAGGTACCAGATTGAGGGCAAGGCAAGGGTTCTCAACGTGACACCCGGGGATAGGAGGTACCAGATTGAGGGCAAGGCAAGGGTTCTCAACGTGACACCCGGGGATAGGAGGTACCAGATTGAGGGCAAGGCAAGGGTTCTCAACGTGACACCCGGGGATAGGAGGTACCAGAGGGCAAGGCAAGGGTTCTCAACGTGACACCCGGGGATAGGAGGTACCAGCAAGGGTTCTCAACGTGACACCCGGGGATAGGAGGTACCAGATTGAGGGCAAGGCAAGGGTTCTCAACGTGACACCCGGGGATAGGAGGTACCAGATTGAGGGCAA